TGCCCTCCGACGTGGAGCCGGGCGCCCTGCGCAGGTGAGAGGCCCGCGGGCAGCCCGGAGGGGCTTCCTGGCCACGGGGTTGCGCTCCCTCGTGTCGCCGCGCAGCCGCAAGACAGCCCGCGAACGGGCAGGACCTTGCCGATCCTTGGGGAATCCTTGGAGATCCTCGCAGACTTGCAAGAACCTTGCAGATTCATGTAGAACCTGCAGGCCTTGGAGATCCCTGTAGGGCCTTGGAGAACCTTGCAGACCTTGGGGATCCCTGTAGGACCTTGGAGATCCCTGTAGGTCCTTGGGGATCCCTGTAGGACCTTGCAGAACTTTGCAGACCTTGGGGATCTTTGTAGGTCCTTGGAGATCCTTGCAGACTTGCAAGAACCTTGCAGATTCTCCTGGCCACGGGGTTGCGCTCCCTCGTGTCGCCGCGCAGCCGCAAGACAGCCCGCGAACGGGCAGGACCTTGCCGATCCTTGGGGAATCCTTGGAGATCCTCGCAGACTTGCAAGAACCTTGCAGATTCTTGTAGAACCTGCAGGCCTTGGAGATCCCTGTAGGTCCTTGGGGATCCCTGTAGGACCTTGCAGAACTTTGCAGACCTTGGGGATCTTTGTAGGTCCTTGGAGATCCTTGCAGACTTGCAAGAACCTTGCAGATTCTTGTAGAACCTGCAGGCCTTGGAGATCCCTGTAGGGCCTTGGAGAACCTTGCAGACCTTGGGGATCCCTGTAGGACCTTGGAGATCCCTGCAGACCTTGGGGATCCTTGACGGACCTTGCAGGACTTTGCAGACCTTGGAGATCCTTGGAGAACCTTGAAGATCCCTGCGGATTTTTGTAGATCCCCGGAGATCCTTGCAGACCTGCTAGGCCTTACAGATCCTTGGAGAACACTGGAGATCCCCAGATGCCTTTTTTCTCTTCAGTGTCTGAACATCTAGTGTGTCTCTGTCTTGGTGCCATGTGGGACATGGTGAGCTGTGCTCGTAGGAGAGCTTGAATCCCATCCCCAGCAGCAATGGGGGTCTCCCTTTTAAGGGGGTCTTGCATCAAACCCCCATGGGGTGAAGCTGGGGTGAAGCACAGCAAGCTGAGGACCCTTCTCTGGCCATGTGGAAGGTGATTCGGGAGTGCTTGCAGTGCCAGGGAGCCTCCTGTCCTCCCAGAAGGCTCAACAGGGCCCCTCCAGCTCCAAAGTAGGGGGCTTTAGGGTTGTTTTTAGAGCTGCTTTTCTCTGGGGTTTCTACAGTTATGTGCTCGTAATAAGTTTTGGAGAAGGACTTTCTCCATGAGGCTTTGGAAGGTCAACCCTGATAGCGCCTGTGTTTGGGAGCGGGGCAGTGCTCGGTGCTGCACAAATGGCTGGAGCCAGTATGCCTGAAGCAGCCCTTCTGGGAACTGTGTTTCCCAAAACAGCTCTCCTCTTTTAAATTTGTTTGACTTCCCCTCAATTTCCCCCTCAATAATCCCTAAACCGTCAGGCCTCTTGCAAGGCAAAGATCTCAAACATCCGAGTTTCCTTGTGGTTATATGAAATACATTAAGCAGAGGCCCAAGCTAATGTCACTGCAAGGAGCTGCACTGCAAGCTCAGCCCTTCTCTTAGATGCCTGAGGTGCCATCAGGGAGGAGCTGCTGGCAGGTGCATTTTGGGTTTCCCTGCGGTTACCAGCGTGACAGGGACTCGGCTGGGCTGGCAGTGCCTGGCCTTGGGCTTACGCTTGGCTTTTGCCCACAGCATTGCTGCCTTCAGAGAGGCCACGCAGCTGCCCAACTTGCTGCCGCCCATCTACCTGGATGCCTCGCAGAGCTGGGAGACGTGGGGAGGCATCCAGCCCGGCACTCTGGACATCGTCGTCAACATCAACATGATGCACATCTCAGAGATAGAGTGCACAGAGGTGAGCGGAGCCCCAGGCCTGCCCAACGTCTCACTGCCTTGCTGGCCCCACCAAGCTGTGGCTAATGCCCAGTTGCCCCCTGGAGCCCTTCCAGAGGGGGTTTCAGGCCAGCCTGTCTGGAGGGGCTCTGGTGCTTCCCTGTGCCTGGGCTGCACGCCGAGGGAGGACTTGGGGTGATAGCTGCGGTGATCTGGGCTGCCAACTCAAAATCTCGTGTTCCTCTGCAGAGTTTCTGTCCTCTTTGGTGTACATGAGTCCCTGACTGGGCTGATGAGGGAAACTGAGGCAGGAAGACCGGTGTGACCTCTCTGTGGTCTTGCTTCCCTGCCACAGGCCTTACCTCAAACCTGTGCAAATCCCTAGGCCATGGTGAGTGGTGAGCTCTTGGGCTGGTTCCCCCTGAGCTCTGCCTCGATTTGATCCAGAGCTGAGAGCTGATGGTGATGGGGAGAAGCTCCAGTGCCACAATGACCTGTGGACCAGGCTGGACGTGTCTGATGGTCTCAGGGTTTGTTGAAGAGACGGATCCACTTTCATCCTCCACTCAGCTTCTTGAGAAGCCCCTGCGCGCCGGTCTGCATTCCCCAGGGCTGAGGAGAGGGTCCTTGGTGGGATGTCTCTGGCTCTCTGACCTAGCTTGTGCTTCTCTCTTTCCCCAGGGCCTCTTCAAGGGAGCAGGGGTGTTGCTGAAGCCCGGGGGTGTGTTGTTCACCTGTGGTGTAAGTGCCAGTCCTGCCGGTGGCTTGATGCAGCTCAACAGAGCCCTCTTGCTAGCTGTGCTGAGGGCTAGGCCGCCTCTGTCTTTGTGTCTCCTCAGCCGTATGCCATCGGCGGGCGGATCAGTCCCCAGAGCAACATCGACTTCGACTGCAGCCTGAGGCAGAGGTAGGAGCGGAGCAAGGCCCTGCATGGCAGTGGTGGGTCCAACGGTCTGCCCTGGGGCCTGCAGCAGGCATGCCTGGCCCGGGCTGCCCATGCCACCGTTGCGTGCCGCTGTGGGCGCAGGAGCACCCTGTCCCTTGCCCTTGGTGCTCACTCTCAGAGAGCAACCAAACAGGTTCTTCCAAGGAAAGGCCTAAACTGGGCGCTCCACCACATCTCGGGGGCCTTGATGGCCCCCACCATGACTGAGAGGGCTGCTTCAGAGAGAGTCTGGGCACGAGCTGTGCACTCTGGCAAGATGTTCTGTCTGTTTGTCTGCCTGACACATGGCTCTTTTCTTGGCAGGAATCCGGCCTGGGGCCTTCGGGACACAGATCTTCTGCAGCAGCTGGCTGAAGCCAATGGAATGTGTCTGGAGAGGATGGTGAGTGCCCCTGGGCACTGCGGGGTGGTGGGGACAGTATTTCTCTTAGTGTGGTCCCCAACAACCTGACCTTGGCCTTTGTGCTTGCAGGTGGACATGCCTGCTAACAACAAGTGTCTTATCTTCCGCAAGCAGTAATGTGCCAACCCTCTGTGTTCTGCTTCCCTGTGGCTGTAACATCCCACGATCTGCATGGAAGCTTTTGTACCCCTGTGCCACCCTCCTGGCAGGCCATTCCTGCATCTCCATCTTTGATGCCTTCAAACCACCCACACTGTTGTTCTGGCACCAGGCTGGGGCTTCCCTGGCAGCCAGGAGCTGGACCATAGCAGCAAAGGAACAGTGCTACAGCCACCCTGGGACCAGGCTGGATCCTTTTGGGGTCCATATCCTGTTTCTCCCTGCAGAGCAGACCGGCTCTGGCAGGGGTGAAGGGCTCTGCCAAACAGCTTGTGGGCAGGGTAGGGCTTTCCATGGGGGCTTTAGGTGTGCGTGGGGCTGGTGCAAGGGGAACCTCTGTTTTGGTGCCTCAGCTTCCCTTGATGTACCGCAGTGAGAAGTCATGTGTGTGGGAAAAGTGCTTTGCCAGAGGTGTCGGGAATCTCATCCCTTTTCTAACACCATGGAGTTTGCCAGTTTGTCCAGCTGCAGACCAGCTTCTCCAGGCCTGACTGGGTAAACAGCCCCCCTCCACCAGGAGCCCGTTAGGAGAAGGCCGTCTTCCACCATCTCCCCTTTTCCCAGCACTGAGGTCTGGGGGGCCCTTCAGCACCCTTGCCCGAAACCCCTGCACCCAGAGCATTGCGTGGCCATGCTACAGCATGGAAGGGAGGAGGAAAGCTTGCTCCAGGAGAGCCTGGGTTACAGTACACTGGCCTCGGGGGTTTTGGTGCTGTGGGGTTGGGGTGTTGGAAGGCCTTCCGCTCCTCTTACCCAGTCTTTTATTGGTAGCGCCTGGGCTGGAAGGGTACACAGGGGGGGCATGCGGATGGATAAATTACAAGGGAGATGGGCTGGCCCAGAGCTCAGCACAGGAGAGGGAGTTACAAAATGATAATAATTACTAAATAAAAACACTGTTCTGCGGGATCTGCTGGACTGCTGCTTCACCCCTCTTGAGATCAGTCTGTGGTGCTGCATGTGGCTGCCCGGAGAGGCTGCCGGGGGGGACACCTGCCCTCATGCCTGTGTGTCCATGCTGCCCCCTGCCTTGCCCTAGTCCTGGAACCTGTTCAGGAGGTCACAGGTTTTCTTCTCGATCAACTCGTAGATTTTTTTCACGCGTTTGTCATTGGCTGCTCGGACATAGCTGCTGGGGTCCAGCATGGCCATACCATCATGCACCTCGCCCATGATGATGAGTGGACCGTCTTCTGTGGTCATGTTGGGGCAAGGGCAATTCCAGTCCATGTCGGTCAAGGTCACTTCCAGGTACTTGATGTTGAAGAACTTGAGGCCCATTTTCTCGTCCTTGAGGACATCTTCGAGGGCAAAGCGGGCAATGCCAGAGTCCTGGTCTTCGATGATCTCCATGAGACGTCCTACGATGGCAAAGTCACTGCGGCACAAACTCAGCACCATCTTGTTCTTCAGGCGGCAGGTCTTGCACTGCAGGTTCTTGGGGAAGGGGCAGACATCCTCACAGGTCTCCTTGCTGTCAAAGTTGTTGTTGTTGCCTTCGCAGCCGCCATAGACAAAGGAGTGGCACTGCTTCATGAGGTGGTTGTAGGCCCAGCGGGCCTCCCAGTTCTTGCAGGGGCCTTGCACCATGGGCAAGAGGCAGGTGTGGACAGCGTTGCTCACGCAGGCCGAGCGGCACTCCTCATATGTCTCGAAATGGTTGCCCCCCCCCCCGCCGTAGCGGAAGGTGAGGCAGGAGCCTTTCTTGGCGTCGAAATGCCAGCGTACCTCATGGGCTTCGCAGTCCCGCTTGTCGGGCTCCTTGAGGCACTCGGTGTTGGGGAAGGGCTGGGTGCTGCCCTGCCGCGGCTCCCCGCCGCTGGCCTCCCGCTTGATGACAGAGAGGGGGAAGTCAGCCCGGAGAAGCCCAGCAGAGTTCCTTGCGGTGCAGGTGTAGATACCAGAGTCCTCATACTGGGCATTGTAGATGACCAGCTGCCCGATGTTGGTGATGACCACATTCCCGTACATCTGATCCGGCCTCATGATGAAGTTCTCCTCGTGGTCGCTCTGCTTCTCCCACGTGATGTCGGGCCGGGGCCGCCCGCTGACGTCGCAGTGGAAGCTCACCGTGCCGCCCACGTAGACGGACTGGTGGAAGGGGTTGTTGTAGAGGGCAGGGGGAATGGGCACCTCGGGGCCGGCCCCTGGCGTGGGGCGAGCCGTGGTCTCCTGGGGCACGGGGCTGGTATTGGGCCAGGTGAAAATGTACTTGCATGGCACCATGGTGAGGCTGATTCCCCTGATGCAGGCCTCGGCGTCCATGTAGCACTTGTTGTAGTAGGTGAGGCCGTCCGAGGCGCAGGTGAAGTTGGGCTCCTTCTCACAGCGGTCCTTGCACTTGCAGATGGGCTGTCCGTCCCAGATGTCGCAGTCAGAGCCCTGCTGGGTGCACACGAAGCTTTCACACGAGGCTTCCTGAGCTAGCTCCAGCGGCGAGAGGCTGCCATCGGCGAAGCGAGCGGCCACGCAGCTCCGCAGCCCGCACACGTTGGTGCAGCACTTCTCAAAGCCCTCGCAGTCCTGGGGTGGGGAGAGAAGGACACACGCTAGCAGAGTTGCAGCTGCTGCACAGCACCAGTGCTGTCTGCTTCTGCGCTGGCAGCAGTATCGGGGCGCTCAACTTGCAGCTTCGCTGCAGCTTTAGGACAGGAAGGGCTGCACAGGCTGCAGTGGCTGATTTTGCCCCAGGTTAAGAGTTCTGCCCATTTCGGCAGGGAGACACCTCCCACCCCAGCTTTCTGCATTTCCTAAGGTCCCCACAATGTCCAGCCGGAAGGGAGAAGTGCTGCTTCTCCACTCCACTACCGTGGCTCTCGGCACAAACATGGTCTTCTCTTTTATGCCCCCTTTCCCGCACGTTGCTGGCCTGGCTTAGCTCTAGCTCCGAGTTGGACCTTCCAAGAGAGGCTGTGCTCTCCCCACACTGAGCTTGGCCATTGCCCCCTCCGGCACAGTTAAGAGTAAGGTGCAAGAGCCCGAGACAAGGATGTCCCATTGGACTTGTATACTCGCCTGCGTACAGCGCAAGCACAGCCAAGGCCAGAGCGCTGCACACGCGAATGCCGCGGGGAGGCCTTGGAGTCAGGCCAGGCGGCACGGCCAGCGCCGGCTGCACTTCACGGTGCGTACGCTGCCCTTCAGGATGAGCTTGGCTGGGGGAGTCCGCATGCTCCACCCTGCCTGAGGGCACACGGGGCTTGTCGCAGAGATGAAGGGCCTAGGAGGAACTTCCCAGCTTTAATGGGAGCTATCAGGCCTTGGAGATGGCCCCCCTCCTTCCCTGCCTGTGGCTGTGGGTGGCCCAGAGCCCGGGCTCTCTCTAGACGGATGGCCTGGCCCATTGGGTGCCTCTGGGCTGGTTTTAGGGCTCCTGCCTGTGGGGAAAAAGTGGCTGTGGGGATGGTCTGAGTGAGGGGGTCCCTGTTCCAGCACATTCCTTGGTCCTAGGGAGCCGAGGACCCTTCCACGGGGGGCCTGGGCAGCTGGGTGGGAGTACCCTGGGGGCTGCACAAATGGGGTGTCCTGGCCACGGGGAGCCTTTCCCAGGGCGTTGCCCTCCCAGGGGGTGTGTGGAGGGGAGGGAACGGTAATTTCTTTGCCTGCTGCAGGCTTGGACTGTAAGCAGCCCTGGGGCCCGGCTTGTGCACCCCAAGAGCACCGGCAAAGGAGGAAAGCCCAGGAGTGAAGTTGCCTGGGGCATTAGAGCCCCCTTTCCATCCCTTTGGCCTTCCCCACCTTCCTGCCTATCCCAGCCCCATCCTGGGGCTGAGCACTTGGTCCTGCAGGACTAAGGCGGGACAAGCTCACGGTGAGGGTTCGTGCTGCCCTC